AAGCCGCGGAAGGCGCCTGGTTCGGTCATCCCAAACCATATGTGACTGTGCTGTTGCGTGCGTGTGTGCGTGTGTTCCGATACGCAGGCGCCGGATGGTCCGATGCACAAGGCGTTTGAGGCCTTCTGCAGGACAAGTGCGTGACGTGACTAGTTGCTCGCAAAGTCTCCAGCGCAAGAAATCACAGTGTGCAGCTGGCCAGGAACGCGTGGGAGAAGCACACAGTGCACCGACATGTGCTGGCCTCGGCCGACATGATTCATTGTGTCAACTTCAACTAACTGTCACGTGCAATATGATACCAATGTTACCCCACACAAGGTTGCGGCCAAGCTTTGGAAGCAGAGCACAGTGCGGCAGATACTTGGCCAGTTCAGTGCTATCCAAAGCCAAGCTATGTGATTTGCGTTGCTTGCAAACATTTTCTGGCTCTTTCCAGCCATGTGCTGAGGACAATACTGGATTCAATTCCTGATGCTGAACGAAAACGTCGACGTTATTAGATAGGCACATGTCTGCACGGCTGACGGTGTGAAGAAAACAAGCAGAGTGGTTGAACTCATGTACTGTCAGCTAGCGCACGGCAGTTGGCAGATGTTCACTTGGGGTTGCAACCGCATGGTGAAATCGCATCTGCATTTGACTATATTGTTTAATTTTGTGGCCCAAGTCATGTTGCATTTATATGTACTTCAGTAGCTGCCACCTTCAAACTCCTTTGGTGCATCACGAAAGTGTGCTAACCACCATAAATAAGGATCTATGAGTGTTCAATCTGTGTTCGTACGCATCTCGAAATTCAATGAGGGGAATTAATGACCATTAATTATTGGGATTTGTACATATGTGGGCAATCACCAGCATGGCTGCTGTTGGTCCTCGCCCCCGCGTGAAGCAGATGCTGGAGTTTGGTTTGTGGCTCGGCATGAGTGAGCAAAACTTACATTTGAGCCGATCGACACTCAACGCATGTCAGCACTGGAATCCCAAGGCCACGTGTGATTATACTCATGTACTACGTCATTGCTTGCTTACCACAGTTTTCGCCATGCGCTCACGATCTTGATGTATGCGAGCTTTTTGCGGGCGACGCTTGGAACGTGGCTTGACAACGAGGTCAATGGACCTGTCCTACGGGGCATCATTTGACCTGGACTCAGCAGCCGGATATTTGATTCCTGACTATATACATGTGTGAAACTTTGACTGTGCGCCTGCCGTACCAACAATGACATAGACACATACCCGCAGGTATGTGCTATATATGTGTGGGAGCTGCGAGCACTGCGTTGCTAAGGATTGCGCTGTTGTTGATGAGGCGGCTGAAACGTGGATCACTATGCTTGATGGCGCCCCCTTGCTCCTGGGCGAAAACTTCAATGCATGCCTGTGCAGGAGTTGCGACCGTGCGCGTTTGACCATGCTGTCAACATCCCAGGCTCGTCGTTTACTTGGTGCAATATGTACACAAGTGGCAGATGCACCCTATTGCCGAATGGCCTGTTGGAAGTGGCGTCGGTCCGTGCTGCCAACCGGCTGGCAATACGTTCCTTGCTGCTTGGCTTGGTCGCGCGAGCAGTTGGGGCGGCTGTGCTGTTAGAACAACCTGCCCATAGAGGGGGGTCTTCCATGGAACGTATAGATTTCTTCCAGATGTGCATTCGTATGTTCCCGTTCTACAAGATCGCCCTAAACCAGCAGTTGTGGGGGGCGTGCTCACGAAAGCCAACCTGGCTATTTTCAAACCATAATCTTTGGACATGGATGTCGCATGTCTCGCTGGCGGCTGCTGGTGCTGCTGGAAAGACAAAATCATCGGCCTTGATGCAACCGTACACGGACGACGCACGGCTATGATTGACGCACGCATGCTGCTACACCGTGCGCACGTGCTCATCACCGCTGCATGTGTGTGCTGTGTGAAAGCCAAGGGCCGAGGGCTAAAGCGAGTGCATGGGACATCTGCGTTGAAGAGCACACAGCACGACCCCCAGTGTCATATTGCATGTGTGTTGCACATAAGCGTCGCATCTTGGCAGTCAGGACGTACACAAAGAAATTTGGTGAAGCTCTCCTATCATGGTTTGATGAGGACCGCATGTGCGCAGCCGAGATCTCAGACACTTGATTATGACGGTTTAGATGATGCTCTGCAATCCCATTACATGCGTGGTTCTGTGTTAGTGCGTATGAGGCCACATGTTTGGGCTGCAAAGAACAAGCGTGTCTCGACGATATGTTCGAGGACATGACCATGCGGGACCAATACAACGAGGCGCTAAGCAAGTTGTGTGCTGAGTGCAATGTCGCTGATTTGCGCGTGTGTGCTCACGCAGCATGCACCATCAACTGGCAACACATTTCTAGGATGATAATGTGCGTCTTTTATTCTCCGAGCCTATCCAATGGTATGAAGAGGCGCTCGGACTTACACGTGTGTCATCGTGTGGTATTTCCATGTGTGCATGGATGTGATTGTGTGGGTGGTTACACACGTACCACTCACCACAGGCCAACCTCAGAGGGGTGATCATGTACGCGCTCGGCTGTCCGGGGCTGCAGCTTCCGCAGTGCTGGCCGCACGACTTTGTTTGATCTGAGGGGGCTTAGACCGATCGTGGCTGTGCTGTGTGTGTGTGTGATCCGGGACATATGTCCCGTCAGATCGACATGATTGTTAATGAGCTGCACACGCGCCAGTCGTGTGTGCGCTGGGTAGATCAGCGATGTCTATAATGACATTGTCATAATTCGTGAGCTACACCTGATTTGCAGCTGGGGTCAAAATCTGTCAAAATCCGTCAAAATCCGTCAAAATGCGTCAAACTCAGTCAAACCCATGAATACTGTGTCAACATCATATACATGGATTTTTTTTTGGCTGTAGACGTTGACATGTGTGGAACCACTGGACCGACATTTTTGCCGAAATGCACTAAGTATTTTTTTTTCAAAAATATGCGCACACGTGCATCCGCAGCATGCTTTTGGCTTGATCACAAGGAGCCAGCCCGGCAGATCCACACCACCAAATACCAAGTTCACACGTTCCAGCCTTCGGCTGTCACTTGCAAACTCCCAGCTCCTCTCAGTTCCACACCAAATGAGCTTTTTGCGTTGATCACATCAACTGTATATTGTCACCATCACCTTTGGAGCTGTGATAGATCTGTGCTGCCCCCAGTAGCGCACATGTCGCCGAAGAAACAATTCGCAAGCCATGCTCCGATAGCTGATGAGGCGGCGCCCTGTCATGACCATTGATACGCACCATGTTCTGTGTGACGTTCTACATCATACGTGATTGTGTTACTTTGTGACATGTGTCTGCACATCTCCAAGGCTTTGCTTCGACAGCTGGACACAGTTGTGTTGGACGAAGCCACCTTTTTGTCGGATGAGCAGAAGGATGCCGTGAGAAGCCGCCTGTGTCTTGATAGCAGAGTCAATCATTAACACCGGGCATGTTATCAACGACCTTTCTGTTTGCGGGTGTGGCCATGACCGCCTGACCCAGGGCAGCATTATCTGCACCAGCAGTGCGCTCTCCGAGCACCTTGGCACACTCGGGATCCTTCTCCGAGAGCTCAGTTGACTCCCGCGTGCATGAGGCCGGTAGTACTCTGCCTGCATGTGCACCGGTGTGTCTCTCATAATGTGTGACATGAGCCGTTTCGTCACGTGTTGGTTGCTTTGACCCGTGTGCCAGTCCCTGGTGGATGCAGACGCATCAGCTGCGTTGTCCGCACGAATCCTACGCCCGACGATCCTGTGATCCAGACACACCGAGCATATACTTTGGAAGATGGGCTGGATTTGCTTGCAATGCAAGGTAGGGGGGTCGACGAGCTGATGCCGGAGACCGCCGCAGTTGTTAAGAAGCGCCCCTGCGAGCTCTTCCGGCAAGCGGACACGTGCGGCGGCCCCTGAGGCCTGTGATTCTGTGAGATAATTATGTGCCCGGGGGTTGAACTGTCAATGTTGCTGGTAAACTCTTCACGTATGCACTCGCTGTTGTGAACGCCGCCAGGTGCCATTGCCCAAGCTCTCGCCAAAGACAAAGCAGAAGTACTCACAGTACTGGGGTGGCCTGACAGGTGTCATACCTGCTATGTATGCAGGGATGGAGGTGGATCCGGCAGCAACCCAGCAAGATTCCAGGAGATGGACCCCGCAGCAGATCAGCGGCAACACCTGTCACCATCGACGGCTGCACCAATGACCGTGCACCTGCAGCCCCAACTACTTGCCCAACCGCAGCAGCACACAGACATAGGTGAGCAGCAGGCAAGACCATCAGCCGCAGCACCAGACTTGCAGCCTCAACTGGCGGCCCCAATCACTCCACCAGCACATATGGGTGTGAGCCCCGACGTGCAGGCCCAACTACCTGCCACAACGGCCGGTCAGCACACGTGCCCTACACCATGTCCGACCGCGGTGCAACCGCTTGCCCAGTCACAGCAGCATGCGCCCCTGGGCCAACAAACAAGCCCTCCACCATTTTCACTCCTCCGCGCCGCGCCACAAAACTACACCGCTTTTAGGATCTCCATCGCAGCAGCAAAGCACCCCACCCGGGCCACAACAAGAACAAAAAATAAATAAACACAGATACAATAAAAAAGCACAAAAACAAAAAAAAAAAAAAAAAGAAAAAGCAGCAAAAAAAAAAAAAAAAAAAAAAAAAAAACAAAAACAAAAAAAAAAAAAAAAAAAAAACACAAAAAGATGAAAAAAGCAAAAAAAAAAGAAAACAAACAAAAAAAAAAACAAAAAAAACAAAACACAAAAACAAGGAAAAAAAAAAAAACAAAAAAAAAAGAACAAGCAGAAAAACAAGACCAATAAAAAAAAAAAAAAAACAAAAAAAAAAAAAAGCAAAAAAAAAGGATAAACAGCACAAGCCAACCAAAAGCAAACCCTCCGTGCCGGGGGCCCCCCGTCACAGCCACTTGCCCCGCCGCAGCAGCAAGCCCCCCTCGATATTGAGGAGCCACTCCCTCCGCCATTTCCGGCCGCGCCACAACCGCTTGCCCCGCCGCAGCAGCAAGCGCCCCCCGACCAGCAGGGAAGCCCTCGGCCGTTTCCGGCCGCACCGCAGCCACTTGCCCAGCCGCAGCAGCAAGCACCCCCCGGCCATCACGCAAGCCATCCGCCATTTCCGGCCGCGCCACAGCCACGTGCCCCGTCACAACAACAGCCAGCCCCGGGTCAGCAAGCAAGCCCTCCGCCATTTCTGGCCGCGGCACGGCCACCTGCCCCGCCACAACAGCAAGCACCCCTCAATCAGCAGGAAAAAAAAAAAAAAATTAAAAAAAAAAAAAAAAGAAAAAAAATTAAAAAAAAAAAAAAAAAAAAAAAAAAAAGAAAAAAAAAAAAAAAAAAAAAAAAAAAAAAGAAAAAAAAAAAAAAATAAAGAAAAAAAAAAAAAAAAACGTAAAACAAAAAATAAAAAAAAAAAAGAAAAAAAAAAAAAAAAAAAAAAAACCCGAAACAAGCACACAACCAACCCTCCACCACCCCACAACCCCGCCCCCCCCCCCCACCCCCGTCCCGCCTCGTCCGCCCCCCCCCAAAATCCGCCTGAGTGAAACACGCCACTATGCCCTCATTGCAGCACACAACCACCCCTCGATCAAGCAGGCAAGCCCCCCCCATCCGTCCGCGTCACCAGAGAAAAAGATCCCCGAGCCGTCCGAATACAGCCACTTGCCCCACCGCAACAACGAGCCCCGGGTCAGCAAGCAAGTCCTCCGCCATTTCCGGCCGCGACACGGCCACTTGGCCCGCAGTGGCATCGCCCACCCTTCGATCAGCAGGAAAGCCCTCCGCCATTTCCGGCCGCGACACGGCCACTTGGCCCGCAGTGGCAGCAACCGCCCCCCGAGCGCCTCGATCCGCGGGCAAGCCCTCCGCCGTTTCCGGCCGCGACACGGCCACTTGGCCCGCAGTGGCAGCACACGCCCCTCGAGCAGCAGGCAAGCCCTCCGCCATTTCCGGCCGCGCCACAACCACTTGCCCCGCCGCAGCAGCAAGCAGCCCCGGGTCAGCATGCAAGCCCCCCGCCATTTCCGGCCGCGCCACAGCCGCTTGCCCCGCCGCAACAACAGCCAGCCCCGGGTCAGCCGACAAGCCCGCCGCCGCTTCCGGCCGCGACGCAACCACTTGCCCCGCCGCAGCAGCAAGCAGCCCCGGGTCAGCATGCAAGCCCTCCACCATTTCCGGCCCCGCCACAGCAAATGCAGATAAGTCAGCAGGGAAGCCCTCCGCCAACTCCGGTGGCACTTGAGATACCACTGGATCCTGAAATGATCGAGATCCAACAGTGGGCGATTCGCCAAAGCGCTTTGTTGGAGGGGCAACCGCCGCAAGCTGAAGCACGTGAGGCTGCCGGATCCCGACAGCAAATGCGCCCCGTGGTTGTGAGCCCACCAGACCTGCCATCCCCCCAGGCAACATCGCAACACACTAGCCCCGCAGATTTGGCAACACCACCGCATCAAGTGCAGCACGCCCGATCAGCAATCCCTTCCATCTTGGCTTCGACGAGCCATCAAGCCAGCCCTTTGACAGCCCCGCCCACTCCAATCGACATGGCAGACCAGCCAAGCCCTGCGCACACACAGAGCTCCATGACTGCGCCGCCGACACCGACAGACAGTGCTGCCAGCCAGGTGCCAGCTCCAGGATTGGTCAGCCAGATGGCACAGCTGTTGATCAACAATACGACTCCCACAGATACCATTTTGCAGATCATGCAGCTGATTGCAACGCAGATGGCGCCGGGCGAATCTGCGAGTGCTGGCGCCGCAAGGGGGGCGCCACAGCTGGAGCAACACACCCTGCATGAACATCAGCCCCAGCCGCAGCTTTCAACGCAGGCGCATCATCTCCCGCCCGAGCTGCCTGATCAGGCGAAGGAGATGCCAGAACAACATCATCCCCCCGAGCTGACACAGACGCCTCAGCCAGAACAGCAGCCCCCACCCCAGCCGCTGCCGCCGCAGGAAGCCTTGCCAGAACTGCAGCAAAATCAGCCAGAGCAGGCCCAGACCCACGAGCATCAGCCGGATCAGGAAGCCCTGGGACAACCGCAGCAGCAGCAGTGTCAGCCGGAGCAGGCCCAGACCCAGGAGCATCAGCCGGAGCAGGAAGACATGGGACAACCGCAGCAGCAGCAGTGTCAGCCGGAGCATCAGCCGCAAGAGCAGCGGGCCCCGCCCCACACCCAGACCCAGCCGCAGCAGACACCACCGCCGTCACGGGTTCCGGGCACACCCGTGGCGGCTCCTGGGACACCCAGGCAAGCCTCAGCAGGCTTGGAACTCGCACTTGCCCCGCGAGTGTGCAACAGCAGCACCCACATGAAGGAGTGGAAGGCGTTTGACCGGTTCATCAAGAGCAATGGGCAGGCTGCCCCGGAGCTCGCGCGGGCGTTCGCGCGCCTTGGCCACGCGTGTGTGTGTGTGTGTGTGTGTGTGTGTGTGTGTGTGTGTGTGTGTGTGTGTGTGTGTGTGAGAGCGTGTGTTGCAAAACATTTTTGTGATTTTAGCTCTTGTGTTTTTCACTTTTTCAGATGTGGTTTGGGATGATTGCTTCTTGGTGACACATTACCGATCGTGTGCATGTATGCGTCTAAGGCGCGGCGGGTCGGCAAAGCTGGACGCGTTCGCCAAGTTCGTCCAAGCTGCAGGATCGCTCACATGTTGAAACACACGTGTGAACATATACACATAGTTGTGTTGCCTCGTGTCCAGAAGATGCTATGGCCGTGGAGGCGGTGCTCCGGTTTCGGAAGATCCAGGAGACTGAGGATAAGGACAGAGGTGCCATGGCCCACATGTGTTCCGGAACACGGTTTAGATGCGATGGTGCGTGCGTGTGTGTGTGTGTGCGCAACCGCATGTGGGCGTGATTTTCATGCTTGACACTGTTCAGGTGTCTTTGTGCGGTGGGAGAAAGTGCTGGAGCACTACAAGGGCCACACTGAGGAGGCCAGGGACTTTGTCGCCCGACGCCAGCGCGAGAAGGGGGGGACCAGCAGATGCCGGAACGACCCGGCAATTGAGACGTACCTTCTGTTTGGCGAACAGGAGAAGACCATCCGGACAAAAACCCTGGAGGACGTTGCCCTCGAGTGCGGGTGCGACGCCGCGGTGGCGGTGGATCTGATGAGGGCCATGGATCAGGGCCAGCAGGTCGGAAGCGTGCCAGCAGCGGGGCAGCAATCCTTGCCAGGGGCCAGTGACCCACCGGCGCCGCCGCAGAACAAGCCGCCTAAGAAGGCCCGCGTCGCCAAGGAGAAGCCAGCTGGGACCAACATGGAGGAGCTCAAACCTGAGGACGCAGATGTTGCAGCCTTTGTGAATAACTGGGTGAAGTCGAGCACCGATGCTCAGGGTGTGTGCACCAGCATTTCTGCCCAGCTGCGTGGCTGATCAATCATTGTTGCCTTGAAGCACTGTTGAATGTGTGTGTATTAAGTTGAACATATGGTTAGGGTTCGCAAGCAACCAGACCCACTGCCCTTTCTACAACCACAATTCTGACACATGCCATATGTTAAGTGTATTTTTTGAGCATGAGTTTGTGTAAGTGCTTCTGGCCACCCCAGGCTGGAACCTCTGGAAAGCCAAGATGCATTGATTGCAGCGAGGGCTTGGGGTGCGCAAGGAAGGCCCTGATTGCCCTGGGGGCTTATCCCAACAGGGATGACGTTTCACATATTTTGCAGGCTGCTGCAATTCACGTGGCAGGTTACAAGAAGCACATCAAGACAGCAAACACCTTGCTCCGTGCCACGGCTGCGCCCAAGCCACGTGCGAAGGGAAAGGCAAAGGCGAAGGCGTGATGGATGTGCGTGTTGGTTGAATGTGTAACTATATGTGTTAAGACATGGACTTCAGGGACAAACAGCTAGTAGTACGGTAGCCGGTGACGTATATGGGTTATCAAATTTGTGTGTGCTTGACAAACGCACATCCACACCAAATGCTGGGTGTGCTTATAGGAACTGGTGTGGCCATGTGCGTGCTGCGAATGGTAATCCTCGTATACACACCCAATGCTCAACTGAACCAACCGCGGCATCATGTGGTGTCACACCTCGATGTGACGTCGGCTGTCTCGAGGGCGCCAGTGCTACACGTGCATCATTGCGTTGAATTGTCAATCAGAAGCGTTTGTGTGATCAGAAAACCATGCGTTAATTTGCCGTGTACTAGGGCGACATTTAGGTTTCTAGCTGATTTGGGCGAGTTCACACGTTTTTGGTGTGACTTTCATGTGTAATCAGCCGCCTGATGGGCCGTTGAATCGAGCGATCGTGCAAATGGTGCCAATGGTAAAGTCAGTATACTGTGAACTAAATATAGTCAACACAAATGTGAATTCACCAGACAAGACAATTATCCTTGGTACCAAATAACAATTATCCTTGGCACCAAATAATATGGTGCCGCAATGTGCCGCACTTGAGCTCGTGCCAGACCTCAGCTGATTTTTGTCAGCTAGCCAACCGATGCTTGAGCTGTGTTGTGTGTGTGTGTGTCGTGTGTGTCCTGATCAAGCGCTTTCACACGATTCCCACAACAAGGCGAGTGCTGTGGACTGGCGTGATGCTTGGGGTTTCAAGGTATGCGTGAACACATCGCATGCTTTGGTCCGGGGGAACTCACACGATCCGATACGTGTGTTGGAAAAACGGGCGCTGCGTGAACGATTGACATGGTTTTGTGATGTATGTGGCGATCATGCATGGCCGGATGTGCGCTCTGCGATACATGTGCCGCCGATGCGTTGGCTTAAGAAATAGTTCGACACATATGAATCCTGAGCTTCAGTAGCTATATGCATATACCCACTTTCACTTAAAACTTAAGAGGTTGTTCGCCAGGACAAATATGAACTGCAATGCTGTTGACTGTTGCAAGTTGATCATAGGTCCACATGCGATTGCCATGGAGTTGGCTTCATGCTCAAGCGCCTCCGGACACTCAACCGCGGCGCCACACCGCCTGACAAGTCTTCAAGGGGACTCTCATTGAAGGCTAGGGCGAGTGTTTCGGAGGGCAAGATTGATGCTGAAATTGGTGAGCGCTTGTCTTATGATTTGGCCCTTCAATCGATGTAGCAAACGGCGTCTGGTCGGCGTGTCAGCCAGGAGAGCCCTATCCTGTGCGTCGCTGCGGCAGAAGTGGGAAAGGGGTCTGCAGCTGGATTGGCGCAGCGGTTTGCGGCGGCGGCCGTCGAGGAA